ACTGATTTCTGATCAGCCACTACAAAAACTGATCATCTAATTATAAGTTATAAATACTAATTATACTCTCAATCTTTTCTAATAATTAATAATAATTATTAATCTGCAGTTTGACAGTTGCACTTGGTAAGACTTGTTGAAATAAAGAAAACTTTTCAGGTTAACAAGATTAATAATCCAACATATTCTGAGCTTGTTTAGTATATGGTTCTAAAAACAAGTTAAAAAATACTTTTTATCTGATATCAGACCATAAAACCTGGTTAGTTTCTGCAGTAAAGTGACTCCACTGCTCAGAAACACTAACAGATTAAATAAGCTCCATTTTAAACCTGATCAGGACCAGGTTAGTTTCAGAGCACTTGTTACCATGGAAACATAAGTGCTTCCTCTGTCATGCAACCGATTCAAGGCTTATTTAATTCAGGTTTACACTAAAATCCTGGTTTAATCCCTTATCCTAGATTGGTGTAATAAGCTCCAAGCCACAGAAGTAGCAGCTTAAACAGATATGTTCAGGCTTTTCTCTCTCTAGCTACCTCCAGCTAACAAAGTTTTCCYTCAAGTCACTTGATGAATTGTAGTGTTTTTACCTTCTCCAGCAGCTGTCGCAGCTGTTTGGTTCGAGCATCTCTGGAACAAACTGTCTGCTGAGGTGCAACAACTGTACAAACACATCGACCTTCAGAGTCCTGAGCTGAACTGTACACCTGCCAGCCTTCCTCAGGGGTTGAAGGACCAACCTGTCAAGAGAGTAAATATGAGGATATGACACTCTTGTACAAACATGGACAATAATGTGTTGTTGATGACTATACACTGATGACTGCTTCAAAACATATTGCAGGCTACACTGCAAAAAACTTTCATTAACAAATTTTAACCTGCAAGACCTGATCAGGGCCAGACCAACTCATATTTCCAGATTTTTATACGTACATTCAGATATGGTGTGCTGCCCTCTTGTGGATTAATTTCCCACAACACAATGACCTATTTATGTGAGACTGATGATCAGTGAAATTTATACATGAACACTTTTTTAGCTGCATAAATGAAAGTACTACAAAGTTTAAGCTAAATATATTGCTGTTGTACAATGTAGACCCAGATTTGCACAACCAGGTTTTCTTCAAAAGACACCAAAGATAAGATTTGATATGTTCCTTGTGTGCAGGACTTTCAATGTTCTGCAGTTTTTAATTTTGTTATTCAGGCTATCATTYTCACATTTTTTTTCCAGCCACAATGTGTTAAAAGTAAATGATTTATATCTGAAGCTTATTCTAGCTCTTAATAATAAGACCTGTTTTCACTTGGAAGAAAAACTGAAAGATGGATATAAAAATGTGTGAAAATCTAAGAATGTGTTAAAGCTGTGTTAAAATTCACACTGTATGTTTTGGGAGCGCCAAATCCTGTTGACTAATTCCTGTTCATTGACTGCATCAAAAAGCATGAAGAACATGGAAATGTGAAGCTCCTTTGTTTAATGGTTCTTGTGTAATTATTTGATTTACATTCCACAATATTCAGCCAAGATAGAATTGCTGAGGTTTTGTCTTTCTGTTTAGGATAAATTCATCACTCCCTACCAACACAACCAACCGAGAAAGAAAATTCTTCTCTCAAATATACTGAATAATCAAAATATTGGAGATGCATATTGTTAAATCATTTAAGAGTTAATTAATATTATTTGAATCACCACTACATTTGACAGTTAGGATGCAGTAGATTGATTGTCAGTGCCAAAATCTTGTTATCCTTAGGCAGCAGGTTTGAGCCCAGGTTTAGTCAATAAGGGCTTCCAGTGTACAAGGGAAGGGTTAGTCATTCTGTTACCAGAGTGAATTTGGATCAATTTAAAGAAAAACATAATTTCTCAGAAACATAAAGAACCATGCAGAGAACAGATGAAATGTTACCAGAGTGAAGTTATAACCGATCAGCAGCAGCAGCAGAAAAACATTGAGCAGATTCTCTTCAGACTCCATCTGATCCTCCTGGAAACACAAACTGATGCTTTCTATCTGCAGCCAACCAGCTGGTTACTAACCAACCTGTATTCTGATTAATAATCTGGTTATCTGTTCACTTCCTCACCGTATCCTCTACAGCTCTCTCCTCTTCCTCCTCCCTCTCCCTCTTCTTCTCTGATGCAACGCCAAAAATCAGCCGAGTGGAAACCAGATCCTCCACTCAAAGATGGRTGGGGATGATATCAGAAGCTGGCTGGAGGAGGGAGAGAAGAATGGAGGGGGAGGAGGTGAAAAAGGAGGAAGAGGAGGAGCTGTCTGTGTTGCTGAGCGTGTATTACTGTGCTTGAATATTTGTAGAAAGCTAAAATGTCCATAAAACATTTCTGATTTGATGTGTTTAAAAAATTACACTAGAYATACATTGTCTGATGTTTAACAAAAGATGCTTTAGGTTACCTGATATAGATGTTTTGTGTATTTTTAACTTTTACCTGAAAAGGAAAAATTTTGAGTCTTAAAGCTGCAGTTGGGAACTTTGAGGAAACAGTGGATCTGAAAATGTAACCAAACACAACTTACAGGACCCTCCCCCTTGATCCTTGCTGATCTACCCTGCATGAGCCAATAAGTAACAAATAGTTTATTCTAAATATTTAGCAAAATAAATCTATTTTAACAATCGTTTTAAATCAAGCAATGCATTACAAAAGTCACAGATTAGAAATGTTTGAGCCACACTCTGAGTAATTAGCTCTGACTGCATTAATTGCAGCACCATCTCAGAAGCAACAATYTCCAGAACAATATTGTTTCAAGAGTTTGCTTCCTTACCACCTGCCTCACTAGTGTTTATAAATGTCTCAAATTTTTCACAAATTCTCACTTTTGGTTGGCACCATCCACAGACTCAAGTGTTGTGCGTAGAAGAAATAGAATTAGCCTTTATTGTCCCACAGAGGGGAAATTCGGGTGTCACAGCAGCATCAGTAGCAAAAGTTAAATCTTACTTCTGTTTTAAGGACTTTGAAGGACTTATCCATGCATTCATAACAACTCGCCTGGATTACTG